GGGAGGGGTGAGTGCTTACTTTTTGGTAAGTTGCTGAACGGAGTATTGCCCAAGCATTTCATTATGCACTGCGATCCTATGCCACTGTCCAGGTTTAGGCAAGTCTTTGTCTTGTGGGATTCTCTGATCAAACATGCCACCTGTTCCAACTGTGAAAATAGTGACACTCCGTCCATTTCTCAATATCTTCTGCACAGGAGATTGCCCGACTTTGCCACATATAATAGCCTGTCAAAAACAAAATCCTGTCTTTAAGTTGGTCTACCAATTATCCCCCAAAAACAAAACAGACAAAAAATTAAAAAGATGAATTATGCCACCATCCTTGACATTTTTGGTTAAAAAATTAAAATAGACGATCTAACTTCCTTTATGTGGAAATGGTTTTGGAGTTATGAGATCTCACAAAAAAGAACTTAGTTCAGAAATTGATAAAGAAATGGGTCTTGGGCCTAACTCAACCCCGAAGCTATCTCTTGAGGGGAGGATTTCCCAAGACCATATAAAGAGACCATGTACTACTTAACACACCTACGTGGGACTCAAGCGCCCCCACACGCCTAGGACGGACATCTGGAGTGTGCACAATATAACACTGGGGAGGGGGTGGGGGTGCAGCAACATCGGAAATAATGAATTAGGATGGGGCACCAAAAGCAAGCTCATGAAGGGAGGAATTGCCCAAGAGAGACCAAGTACCCCTTAACCAACTGATGTGTGACTCCAACAGAAATCGCATATCAATTTACAGATTCAATCATTCTGGTCCTAAAAATATCTCTAACTAAAATAGCTTCATTCTCAACCAAGTTCTCAACAACTTCTACCAAAAGGTTGTGCTTCACCCAAGCCTCATACCACACAAGGAATCAGTTGAAACAATTTAGCAGACTCACAATGATAAGAGAGCGAGACAAAGGTCAGTGAAATAAGATAATTATAAAACTAAAATATTTAAAGAACAGCCTCCAAAATTGCTCAACAAACTAACATTAACTGATACAAACATATTGTTAGCCTTCTTATCATTCTTTCCTGTACAAGTATGATTCAATCTTCAATATGCTTATAGGGCTTTAAACAAGAACATATATATACCTTGTGCACACCCCGAAAATTCCAACCCTTTCTGGGGTCCACACCTTGCAGCTGCAAATTAGGTTTTTCGGGAAGAAAATCACTATCATCAATTTCTACAGCTTCATTATTACTTGCAGGCTCATCACCATCACTATGATATGTACCAGTTGAATAGCACAACCTAGAGGTTCCTTGCACACCCATCACTGTAATATGCAATAAAACAATCGTAATCATAAAAAAAACATTTTTTTTTACAATATGCCCACCATTTGTTCACTGAAATGCCTCAATCAATATAACCAGAATTAAGAGAATAACTCTAATACAAGAAAATAATAAATACAATGAAATTGATTTTTTTACAAAGGAAGAACCTGGTCTGGCGGCTGGAGAACAGCGCAACAATTTGACAAGTTTAGCAGCCATTGAATTCATTTTGCAGTGAACGGAAATTAGGGGACAAGGAGGGTTTTAGCGCTATTACAATCTAATACGGGTCGGGTTTGCACCCCAGTTTTTTGTTTTTTCAAAAATGGTCCGTTCGGTTTAATTCAGTAATGCATGAATTTGAATATCAATTTTCTCTAATTAGACTTTTCCTACTCTTGTATAAAAATTAATAAAAGCCTTTTTTGTCCAATAAAGACGAATATTTTAACTTAGTGTAGATAGTCATGGCAACTTTAATAAGCTTTAAATTCAAATCGTGTCAATAATCATTGATTTGAACTTTAATTTGTGTCGATTATAATTTATTGATAAAGTTTAATTGAACTCAACTAACCTCGATATTGTAAAAATCGATTGAACTCGAGCTGGCTGAGCTTTATACCTAAACCTATTTTAATGGAATGGTCATCTTCCAAGAACATCACACAACCATTTCTCAAAAGCCAAAAAGCATTACATATATAACATCATTGATGGCTCCATAATTTTAAATGTGTAGTTGCTATAGATGGCTCCATACAGACTTTTGACAAAAACAAAGTAAAGTTTTTTTTTTTTTTAAATATTTTAAACAAAGTAAAGTTGTGGACTCTTCTTTGGATAATTGTGAAATCAGATGTTATTTGTTTAACTACCCCTTGAAGACTGAAACAGCAATTCAACAGTTGGAAAGAAAATGGGAGTAGAGGTTATTTTCTAATGTCGTGAAAAAATAAGCAATCACGTTCAGGTGAGTTTGATGAGAAAACATGTAACCAACTTTATCCCTTAATTAATTACCCTTTACATGCTATAATAATTTTACTAACATAACCTTGTATAAAAAGATATAATTGAGGGCATTCTTGGAAAAAAGCAACAGAAATGTTAAGCATATGAATAGGGCCACTACCCACGTCCATTACAACAACAACAACAACAACCCAGTAAAATCCCACTAGGTGGGGTCTGGGGAGGGTAGAGTGTACGCAGACCTTGCCACTACCCACGTCCATTACAACAACAACAACAACCCAGTAAAATCCCACTAGGTGGGGTCTGGGGAGGGTAGAGTGTACGCAGACCTTGCCTCTACCCACGTCCATTACAACAAAAACAACAACAACCCAGTAAAATCCCACTAGGTGGGGTCTGGGGAGGGCAGAGTGTACGCAGACCTTGCCACTACCCACGTCCATTACAACAACAACAACAACCCAGTAAAATCCCACTAGGTGGGGTCTGGGGAGGGCAGAGTGTACGCAGACCTTGCCACTACCCACGTCCATTACAACAACAACAACAACAACCCAGTAAAACCGCAATAGGGGGGGTCGGGGGAGGGTAGAGTGTACGCAGCCCTTGCCCCTACCCACGTCCATTACAACAACAACAACAACCCAGTAAAACCGCAATAGGGGGGGTCGGGGGAGGGTAGAGTGTACGCAGACCTTGCCACTACCCACGTCCATTGAAAAACAAAAAAGGTATGAGCAACAATAACAATGAAGAGAAAAGAAAAACTAGTAAATATTGGGATATTGTGTTTGCCAAGAGGAAAGCAAAATTCTTCAAACAAAGTTAAAATGGACAAGGCAAGTTTTCATAGTACTGGAAGATTGAAAAATCCTAGCTCCCTCCTAAGGTATTCACAAATCAATGGCTTTGCCATGTCCATGCAACAAAAGGTGAGAGTGAGATTACCCAAGTTGCTTGTTGTCAACAACCCTATGCAAAAAACTGAAAAGGGTGTCAAGGGGAAAAAGAAGAAGATCAAATGGACTAAACCTGCAGGACTTGGTTCAATTTTCTGTAATGCTTCTCGCAACAAGAAACCGTTGCAAAGGGACTCTTCAAGCTTTAAAAATGACAGGCATGGTGATGATGCTGATGGTTTGGATGAATGCATGGAAGAACGAGATCAACTGATTGTCTCCGGGAAGAAAGACAACATGTTTAAGACTATGGTCGAAAATTCAGTGGAACGGCTAACACTGAGTAAGTCATGTTCATTCAAGAAGATACTGAGGATCTTAGACACAAAGAGGAAGCCATTAAACGTGAATGAAGAACAGAATTCAGAAACATCAACTGGCAGTAGAAAGCAACCACGGATTTTACCCCGAAATCTCTCAGGGCTGTTCGAGTTCAGGTTCAGAAAGAGGTTTGGATTTTGCTTCACCAACTGGAAGACCAACAAAGCAGATCCTGGAACAGACTTTGAAGGTGCAGACTATGGTGCTGTTACTAATGCAGAGACTCAGGAAATGTCGAAAACCTTTAACTGGGCATCAATCAAGAGGCAGAAAGCTTGTTACTGCATCAGTAGAAGAGTGAAAGCCATACACAAGAGAGTAGTGAAACAGGAGAGAGAGTGCAAACATGAGGATGAGGAAGAACAAGAGAAAGTTGAACTGGAATTATGCAAGAAAAGGATACTCATGGGAGGAAAATGTCGGCCACTTAGTGCATCTGGCAGCCTTCACTACGATCAGAATGGCATTCTGTTACCAGAACTTCCATATCAAGAAATGTAACCATTTAGCAGTTGATAGCGTGAAGCTCATTTCTGCACATTTTAGGTAGTGTAAGCTCTTTCTCCCTGTATTTCAGCTTGTCCTGTACATTTGTGAAGCCAATGCCTTATTGTAATTGGCATCTGTAGAGAATACAATTGTCTACCAGTTCCTTTTACACTCCAGTGTGTGCTTTCTGAGACTGTAGGGGGATTTAACTGCAGATCTGCATCATTAGCTGTGAGCAAGTATGAACATCCAAGTTTTCATGATTATGGAGCTAAAAACATGTAAAATCATAAAGAGAACTCAAATGACATAAATTTGTACCGACTTTTTAGCATCAGTTAATAATACTAGTGAAAAACAAGGTGCAAGGAATTTGCAAGCAGTAAAAATGCAGAGCACAAAACTGCAGTTTCAAGTAGTAGATTATTAGTACACTAAAAGAGTGAAAAGAAAAGTAAAGGTGCTACAAGGGCAAAAGATACACATCACCAAACATATCGAAAACTACAAACGCAGATGTACATGTTCATAGCTTCAAAGGCTTTAATCCAAGCGATGCCCTAAGCCTGTTGGCTTCTGCAATCTCTGGATCAGGATGATCTGTTCCATCATCTTTCTTTTCTTTCTTCTCCTTTTTCTCCTTCTTCTTCTTAGGTTCATCCCGGGCAGGACTAGCACTACTGCGAGCATGCCTTTTACGACGGTCATCCTCCCGATCTTTACGGTCTCTGCTTCTACTTCTGCTCCTAGAATAACTCCTGCGTCGACCACGGTCACGTCTATCACGTTCCCTATCCCTTTCTCGATCCCTCTCACGACCATAGTCCTTATCATCCCTGAGGCGATGACGGTCCCTGTCTCTATCTCGGTCTCTGTCACGTCTGCCACGTTCCCTATCATAATCACGATCTCTGTCATAGTCTCTATCATAATCTCGATCTCTGTCATAGTCACGATCCCTGAAAGAGAAGGCATAGAAGCTCAAATCAAAAAATAAAGAGAGAACCCCACAACAAAGAAAAAGGCATAAGCTGGATTGTGTTGTAAATCAAAAAAAGAATGTTCTAATTACACTACCACTACACTGCAGAAAATGTTAAATCACAAAGTGTAATTCGATATAAGAGCCTCCTACTACACAATTAATATAACATAATAAATAGCCAAACAAATCACATTACTGCCAACTGAAACAATTGGATAGTAGAAATGTATGATCTATCATACTTCTCAACTGCACACTGTCAGTGCAGAGAAACCTGGCAAGATCACAATTTTTTAAATATAGGAAGCTGTGCTAGTCACCAAAAGGCCTAAAATGCCATATTGGTTGGAGGCTTGAAGCATGTGAAGTGTGTGCTTTGTGTAATAATTCCAGAGTATCTCTGGCTACTTCAACAATCAGCTTCCACTCGAACAGTAATCAACTTACAATAAAGTGTAAACAAAATTTCACTTAACCTAAGTCATGGTCACCTTCAATCCTGAGGGAAACCACCCAAACTGAGTCCCCAAAAACAGGAGTTTGACAAGCTACAGTTTTGCTTAAGGATTTCGAAGTAATTAAAATCATATGTAATGATGCAGATGCTCTGGAATAAACATTGGGTACTAGTAACAACTGGAGATGGGCACACTCCTTATATAATAGGAGTCTTTGCGTTTGTAGGACCCATCCATGTCATTTCCACTTCACAAGAGTGAGTTGTGAGGCAAATGAAGAATTCAAACCTCAACACATTAATAAACGAAGAAAAGACAACAGATGATTGAAATCTACCTGTGTCTGTGACTATCTCGTCTTCTATCCCGATCTCTCTCCCTAGCTGGACTTCCCCCACGGTAATAATCCTGCATTATTGCAAATCAATAACCAGAAACAAGCCTTTAAATTAATGAAATTGACTATAAACTAAGCACGTCAAAAATCAACCTTTTCATGCTCATCATCTAATCCAGTGGCAAGTTGTTCATCCTCATCCTTCTCCTCTTCCTCTTCAAAGTCATCTTCCAACGCACTTCTCCGAGGTTCCAGCAGTTTATTCTGTTCCAATATCCATCTGGTGGCAACACATGATACGTGGGAGATTAAATTAACACACACATAAAGAGTATAGAAGAAACAAAGAATTAGAAGTACATGCACAGCAAAATATTTTGGAGGCAATAACAGCTAAGACTAAGATCTAACAGCACCAACACTCGCAAAAAGGAAAAATTGCAAAAAAAAACACCGGACAAAATAGACAATTAAGGGCGGGTCACAGACGGATTTCTCAATTATAAAAAAAAAAAAGACAAATAAGGAAGGCTTTTTTCTTTCTTCAATTAATATTATTGTGATATAGACCATGTGTTTTAGGCTAATAATCATTTTCCTGTGTTATCATCCTGAGCACATTGACCCGTTAAACTTAACCAATACAATCTTGGCTTAGACCTATTACACATAATCCATTACAAAATGTAAACAAACAAAATCATAACAGCTTGCCTTTGCCCTGGAAGCAGAAGTTTATGTTTTGAGCAAGATAATCCATCACTGCGCAAGCTTAAGTAGAGGGCCAATTAAACCAACAACAAATTACACACTCTCATGAACAAAGTAGAGTCCGCATTCTCATTCAACCCACACAGGCTCAATTTGATATTAGTAAATTAATCATGTTGTGCTTAGTTTTATGGCTGTCCGTTTAGGGGAGCATATATTCGAAAGAGTATCCACCAAGTACCTATATTCTACTAAAATAAAATAAAATAAAAATGGCAAAGGACTCAAATAGACAAATACCTTTTCTTGATGCGGGGCAAAGCAATATCACAAGAGTAATCTGTTGTAAGAAGTTCATCTATATACTCATCCACATGTGTCAGTGCATACTCTAAACAAGAAAAGACAAGAAAAATTAGATCTCGTATCACAGTTTTAATCAAGTCATTAGATAAAATCAAGAAACCAAGAAAACTTACGCCCATCAGCTAATTTACGCCTCAGCTTTCGATAATCATTGTAGAGAGGCTCGAGATATCGATATATATCAATATCCGTACCCGTAAGACGCAAATAGAAAGCCCCAAGAACTCGAACATACTTATAATCTTCGTTCTTGATGAACTCCACAACGATATCTTTTTCAGGCTGGATTTGGAGCATCTTCATGACAAGGCAAATAAATGGTGAGGGTTTCCGATTACCGCCGAATGTTCCACCGAGGTGATCAAGTTCCATGGCTTTGTCGACTAGTGTTTCTGCTGTCAACCCGAAACATTGTTCTTTCCAGTAAGTGTTTTGGTATATTTTGGACCTGAGGATTTTCTCCACCAGGTTTTGTGGGTTCGTTCCCCTAATGCTCTTCGCCAATGGATCGGTGCGATTCGCCATCTCTGAAACCCTAACCGGGTTTTGCGATTTAGGGAGAAAGCCCCAAGTATATATGGAAAATGAAATAGTACTTAACAGATTGGACTATTTATAATTGGGCCTCTTGGACTCGCGACGCGGGCATAAATACTTATATGTATACAAAAAAAAAAAAAAAAAGTGTTTCCAATTAATAGTCATTCAAATTAACAAAGCATAAACATAAACGTATCATTTCACTTGACCTCAGTTGGCATTTAATATCATCCAATTATAGATGTGCATAAATAAATATTTAAACTTGTATAAAGTTGAACAAGTAAACACACATTTTGTTTCTGCATATAACATAATACAGATTCGTTCAAGTGTATATCTCACACGAATTGTCATGTAAGACGTCTTGTGAAAAGTGGTTCACATTGACGCTGACTCACAAATTATAGTGAAGGCAATCAACCCCCTCTCCTTTGCCCCTTGGCAAATTGCACACATAGTGGATCAAATTATTAAAATGGAAAAGGAGGATAACCTTATTCTTTGTACATTTTTTTTTAACTTTAGAGAAGCAAATTGCATGGCTAACATTTTAGTAAATTAGAGTCTACAAGAAAAGATCATCAACTACCTTCATGGAGAGTAACACCTTACCATACAAGGTGAGAGCCACCCTTTAAAATGATGAGATGGATGAACTAGTTTTGTTGGATGAAAGCTATATTAGAACAGTACTCTAAGAAAGGGTATTCACTCATTAGAGAAATATAAACTTGTTCATTTATAAGCCAAACTTGATACTTCCCTGTATACTGCTAATGTAACAGAAGGTTTCTTCCCTAATGTATTTGCTTTATATACTTGAGCCGAAAGTCTATTAGAAACAACCACCTTCACAAGGTAAAGGCAAAGTTGTGTAGATACCACTTTCCCCAAACTACACTTGTAAAATTACACTAGACATGATCGAATTATTTTTAGAAAAATAGCAAATGTACTATCAAAGCTTCATCTCAAAGTTTTACTTGGTCCTAGATATTTGACACATCATTTATTTGAAATGCCAGAGAGCTGCTTGTTCTTCAAATGACCAAGAAAAAGAAAACATAAAATAATAAACAAAACGAACAAGAGAAAGAACATGTAAATAACATTCCATTTACTAAAACATCCAGGTAATTCTGTTCCAACACAACAGTTATGATGCGGCAATATAATTTTAAGCTGGATACCTCCATTAATTGTGTTACAGTAGTAGTAATTAAGGGATAATATCTCAAATGGTCACTCATAATTATTGAGTAATCGAATACAAAATGCATCTAAGAGACACGAGAATTACCATTAATGGACCACCATAAAAATGATGAGATTTGATACAGCAAGTGCTAAAATTTCAAAATTACCATACGGATGACCAAATAAAAGAAACCTTATTACAAAAGCTATTAGTATAAAATCGAAATCTACAATGCAATGGCAAATACAGGACAAGGAATATATCATTAAAAAAGAAACACTGAACTACTGGGAGAGAGAGAGAGTGTGTAGAGTATTGACATCCATTAACTGATCCTTTAAACTGAGCTATTTCCTGTGACATTCAGGACCTTCAACCAAAAGCCAATGGCCGAACGGAGAACATCCCCTACTATTTTAACTATGGAGAAAAAAAATGATAAAAATGAAGAAAAAAAACATATAACAAAGTTTAGGAATCTCTCTAAAAGAGTAAGAGGTGTGCCATCATAAAGAGATGTGGACTAAAACCTATACTGATAAGATACACAAAAAGAATGTCACTGATAGAATACAATATGTTTCATCTTTGAACTTGGTCGGCAACATGGTTGTTAGCGTTCGAAGAGGAGGCCACCCTGCCATTTAACATCCCGTTATCAATAGGTGGACTTACGCCCCACTTCCCATCGGATTCCAGTGGTTCAATCACTTTAACAGTTCCATCTGTCAACCCAACTGCAAATTGGCTGGGTTCCTGTGGATGTGCTGCAACTACTAGCGGATACACAGATTGACTCCTGAGACATACGACACGTGCATTAGCCACGACTCTTTTAGCACAAAGAACATCACAAGATAATGAGATTGGAACAAGTAAAATTAGTACATGAATCAACATCTTACAAAGTGCACGATAACACATTTTAACATGTTAGCTGAATGACAAAAAAAAACTGGATTTGCAGAAGTGAATAAAAGACAGATTCAAAAGACTGATGTTATATCTGTTCTTACCCAGTCAACACTGCCTGGGACAAATAAGCCGAGGGAGCAACACGACATCTGAGTCTTAGGGTATCGGCATCAAATACCCCAATGTTGCCATCAGAAAAGGAAGCATAAACTAGTTGACTGTTGCAAGAGTAAGCCGCATAGGTTATTGGTGCAGAAAGTGCATCTTGAGGGACCCACTGCAAGAAACAGAATCAATAAGAAAACAAACTTTTACATGTCCATAATTTGAGATTAGGGATTTGTTTTACCTGGCGAATTCTTTCCATCTTTGATGCATCATAAATTGCCAACTGTGTTTCATGGGATACTAGCAGGCGGACTTGGTCCGCATGAAATTGTACTCGAGTGTCACCACTAGGTGCTTTACCAGCAGGCAGTTGAATGGGAACTGATTTCCTCTTGTCCCATGAATCAATGCTCCATAAACAGACCTGCAATGGTCAAATTCCATACATAAAGAAATAAGGTATCTATAGCATGTCAAAGCACTAGAAGATGTGCACATGCTGTCATAAATGAAAACAAAATACAGAAACATAATTGGCAGGTGCAGTCAATTCCAGGCTTCAGGCCATACATCTGTTCATTATCAAGTTCCAAAGGGGGGCAATAATTGTACAAATTCTATAGATTGACAACTTATCATGATGTTCACAATCACATTTCAATTAAGACTGCTACACCTCATATGAAATAAGAAGTAACAAAGCAATAGACACCCTCCCTCACCCCCCCACCTAAAAAACAAAAAAACTGAAGGTTGTGGCCAGTAAGAGAAAGCTAATTGGGAAGTTTTCGTGTTGCATCCCTCCTTTAGCAGAAAGCTAATTGAATAAAATGTAGGTTCTATATCTGTTCCTTTATCCTTTCACGGTTCAAAAGAAATAACACAAGGCATCAGAAGGAATATATAAAAGAAAAAGAACAGCGACTTACCTGAGCATCAGCACCTGATGAAACCAATATGTTGAGGTTGGTGGAGAAAGCAAGACCAGTAATGCGCTTCTGATGGCCTTTTAACTTGGATTTTACCTATGGATCAAATGCAGCAAACATAAAAAATGGGTCAATTAACCAACTCACAGATGTCATTGAATATAGAAATAGTTGTATAAATTACCTCATCAACCCTAACATTGTAAATGTGGATTGTTGAGTCCTCCATGCCAATGGCGATAATATTGTTATCTTGAGGATGGAATGCTAAGAAAGTTGAAGCCGGCGGAGGTGGCATAAATGTTGTCATTACCTATACATCTCAGTTATTATCATATTCCCAAATCAAACCACTCAAATAGTAAGATAAAAGAACAGGACCCTCTTCTATAGATTTACCTTAAACGTCATCATATTGAATAGTGACACTTTTCCACCAGCAGCTGACATTACATAAGAGTCATTCTTTGAGAGAGCAATGCAAGGAACAGCCTCTTCCAAATTAATACCTACGATATCGTTGGTCATAAGAAGACCACTGTTCGGTTGCCAATATTGTGGAACAACATTAGCAGTGGCCTTTAAAGACACAAGACATTCCAAAAGTTAGTTTGTATAACATTTTTGAAAATAAATATGTAGCTAAGACAGTTATCAGTTAATGTTTTACCTTGCCACTTGGATTTTGTTCATTGCGCGTCCACTTCCACAGCTTTTGAGTACCATTCGAACCAAGTGCCAGGATACCAACACCAGAATTTGTATAAAGAAGCCTTGCAACCTAAACAGAAGTGCTATTTAAATGATCTAGTTACATGTGAATCACAAAATACAGAATAAGTTCACACAAATTAGATAACGCACCTTATTATTCGAATCTGAACTCTCAGGCATGGTAACCAGCCTGCATTGAGCTTGGTCTAAAATTTCAGTTAACTGCCAGGGTTTGGCCTTATCTGAAACTTCCTCCAATATTCTTGGTTTCTCCATGCTTCTGGGCACAGAATCAACTCCATTCTGCAAGGAAGTAAAATAATATAAGAGGATAAATTCACTAAACTGAAAAACAGATGACGTTTGAAGCTTAAGTATGAGCTTATTTAACAGATTGCGGAAGATTAAACTGAGAAAGAAAAAAATTGAAATATTACATACAAGGATAGGAGACGGCCTGATAGGAGAGCTCCTTTCAACTTTACAATTGACAGGAGTAGCATTTGGAACAGAAGAGCCAGAACCCTGCTAAAAAGAACACAAGGAGATCTTTTTTACTTTGAACATAATAAAACTACGCTCAGAATAAGTGGGAGAAGCAAACAACCATCAATACCTTAATAGCAGCTGCTTCAATGGGTGATCTTAGTGCTTCAAAAGGCGGGGCCTCAACTGTTCTCAAGGATCTCATACCAGCAGCGTTTCCCAGTATCTTAATCCCATTGTCAGCTGTAGTAACAGCAAGAAGATTCCCCTCCTTGTTGAATCTCAAGCGTGGAAGACTCTGCAACAACCACCACAATTAAAGCCATCTTCAGAATATACAGAAAGTTCCAATTTGTTTAGTAATTTTCATTTTCCTTTTCTTTTTTTTTCAATTCCTTTTCTTTTTTGGTGTATCGTGAGAATGGTTGCTCAAATGATAACAATAGAACTGACATAAGCACTGACCGGGAGACCACCATCAGCATCTATAGTTGTAAGAATGTTTATATTGTCCATGTCCCAAAATTTTATCTGGCTATCTTCACCCACAGCCAAGAAGTGATTTTGAGTAGTGTCAAACTGCACAACACCAGCTGATTTCTTTCTAAACCCAGAATAAGTCCTCTTTATGGCTCCTTCACTTTCATTCCATTCCACAAGAAAAGAATCACCTTCTTTACCAGTTCCACAAGAG